CTGTCTTGGGGTAGTGTGAGGATTAAGATGAGCTGGTACATGTAGTGTAAAAATGGTGCCTGGCACTAGTGTTGGTGCATGGTAATTATTCAGGTAACTTTCAGTTTGGGGGTAACATTTAACTCTTCAAATGTAATGGAGAGGTGGAGAAGGAAGAGTTTCTTCCTAAGTTGACATCAGCAGGATGCTAGGACTTCGTGTAGAGTCAGGTGAAGGGAACTGCGGCTTGCCCACACTGACCTGTCTTGATTCTGTGGAACCAAACCATAATATTTGCATAGAGAAGATCTGTGCATATCACTGCACACTGTGAAGTAGATACAGGGGTAAAATCTGGAGCACATCCTGAAATGGAGTTAGTACAATGAAGGGAAGTGTGCCACTCTTATGGTGGGTAGGTAGAATCAGATGGTGGCTTCAGATACAGATTCTTACTGCGTCATGGCTTCATTGAGATTTTTATCTGAACAAAGGGCATTCTTGCCTAATGTAATTTGCCTTGTTATTCCACACTCCCTCAGTTAGAGCTGTTTGAGTTTGCTGACTTTGGTGGGGGAGGAAATGCTCTACTTCATGTTTTAATCTGCCATCTCTTGTTATAAAAAGAAACTTGATTTTTTAATGTTTTTATTGATGATTGTGTAGGATATTTAAATTTAAACACTCAGGTACTAGTCCTTAATATTTGACTCTTTTATTTAACAAGCATTTGAGCATCTATAATGTGCAGGACAGTGTTGTAGACAAACCACATCATGAACAGAACAGACAAGAATCTCTGCCTTCATGGAGTTTATATTCTGGTAGTGAGAAGACAATAAATATAAGTAAGTTTAATAGTATGTCAGAAGGTAATTAGTGCTTGGGGAAAAAAAAGGGAAGATAAGGGACTGAGATGGTTAGGGAAGTTACTTTTGAGCAAAGATGTAAATGAAAGGAAAGCAAGTCGTGAAAATCTAGAAGTGCAGTGTACCCTGCATAAGGAACAGCCAATGTCAAGGCATGTTTGGTACATTGTGCATTGTCAATAAGTGGGTGACAGCTTGCTGTTAGTGGGCCAAGGGCCAGAGCCTGGAGACAGTTTAAGAGGCTAGGGCAGTTTGTTATGTAAGTGAAATGGGATGGTGATTTGGACCATGGTGCTAGCAGTTGAGATGATAAGTGGTCTGATTTTGGATATATTTTTGAGGCAGAGCCAACAGGCTAATGGATTGATTTTTGTGTGGGTTGAGAGGGAGTGACCAAGTCATCAAGGATGACTGATAATTTTGGCTTGAACAGTATGAAGATGGAATTGCCATTCTCTGAAATGGGAAGACTGAGGGTAGGAAAGGTTTAAGGTGTATGAGCCAAATTATTATTACTCCCAAACTAAAGGATAGGTGGTCACAAACACTTATTCAATAAGAAAACTGGTCCATAGATTTTACTATGAGAACTCTTTAGCTCTGTAAACCATATTTAGCTGATTCTTTTAACCTAATGTCTTAAAGATGGAGTTAGCAAATAAAGGGGATTGGCTTGGATAGATTGATATAACCCATGGTAACAAAGTCAGGTGTATGAAGAAAAGCTTGGGGACTTAATTTTTGTTCTCTGGTGGAAGGGATTATTAACCTGAGACAGAGAATGAAGGCAAAAGCTTTGGGCTTGGATGATGAGAACTTGGATGAACCCTGTTCTTCCAGTGGACTTGTCAGGGTTTTTTTGCTCTTTGTGTTTAAACTAAGAAGCATGTGCCTGGGACTTTTTGTTTTGTGGAGCTCTTCCTTTTCTCCGTTAAAGTGTTGTCTTTAGTTCTAGTAGTTGTATTAGGAGCACTTGTTTTCAGATTTTTTTTAATTTTTAAAAATTGAAATGTTAGTTTCAGGTGTAAAACAGTTCTTTTGCTTTTAAGTGTCATTGATAAACTGCTTCTGTATCTATGCTCTACATTAAAAATTTTTTTTATTGACGTGTAGTTGATATATAATAATATAGTGGTTTTAAGTGTACAAAAGGTGATTCAGTGGTTATCTACATAATTAAATGTTCACCCTAACTAGTGTAGTTAATATCTGTCAGCACAGAAAGATGCTGTAGTATTATTAAGTATGCTCTACATTTTTAAAGCATGCAAAGGTTGAGGAAGTATGTATGAGTATGTGTATACTCTAAGCACCATTAATCTATTTTACAGGTAGAATTTGCTTTACTTGAGATGATGAAAGTGAAAACGTATATGAAAACTCCTAAGTAGAATTTTGTATATATTGAGGTTTTCTATTTTGTATTTTATTTGAATGAATAAGAGCTAAAAGGTGGTGGGGTGGTTAGGAACCTCTTTTTAAAATACTTGTGAGAGACCTGATTATTTAATAATGTGATTTTATATAGTTCTCGTTATCTAATTTTTGTGAGGAACCTAGTGTGCCTAGCATATAGTTGACAGTACAATTTGAAAGCCAGTGTCATCACTTCCATCCTCTACAACTTGTAGAAGGTAAAATAAAATTTAGTAAGCACTGCTGTTGCACAGGGTATTATGAACTTTCTATATGTTACTTGTTCCTTATTAATACATTAGGAGCTAGATGACAGTTTCATTTTACAAATGAGACAGTTGAGGCTTATAGAGAGATTGCTATTTGTGTAAGATCATGCAGTTAGGAAGTGACAACTTGGACCCTAGCCCTTCTAAGCTTGTCTTGCTTTCTTGAACAGACCACTTACACATGTAACTTTTTAGTGATGTCCCTGTGTTCTATTAATTAAATTTCTAGCTGTTAAAGTATTTTTCACTGGATCAGAATATGAGCAAGACTTGGCAAGCCTGCTGTTGACAGTTGCTGGACTAGGCCTTTTCAGATTGTCCTTTGAGTGTGTTGTTTTTAAGTTGCCTCCAAAGCTAAAAAGAGTGTTATTGGTTACTTTTTAGGGTCAGTGTAGTCTATCAATGTATTCTATCCTTTGTTAGTCCACATACCTCATTGAATATATTATTACTTGGGGCCCTGAGGGATTATTTTTCTTGTTCTTTAGTTTTTATGACAGGTGACTTTGTTTTTGGAATGACCATATATCCTGGATTTTACAGATTGTCCAGAATAATTTTCTAGTTTAAAAGATGTGCTGTATTAAATGATCACCCTAGATAGTAGAAGAGAGATAGAGATGTTGGATTTGG